AAGACAGAATGTACAGGTGAGCCTACTTCTTATTCCTGGCTTGCCAGGGTGGGGGGGTCAAGAAGTCCCTGTTCTCCTCTTCTTTCTCTGCTGACTCAGCTAATGACACTCAGGTTACCTCACAGATTGAAGCTACAGTGCTTTTGACAGTTGGAGGAGTCTTTCTGACAGACATCTAATAGTTTCAACTGCAGCTCTCCACATGTCCCAAGAGGTGTCCTTTGTTCCTGAGGACTCATTCATATAGAAGGAACTATAAAAAAGGGAACAACAGTCAACCTCTGGACAGAAGGGTGGGGCAATGTGATTGGGTTGGGTTCCCTGGGGCTTTTATAGTGCCAGTACTGCTCTTGAGTGCTGAGTTCTTGGGTTTTAATTTTATTATTAAATGTTGATTATAGTCTTCTGCATGTATAACACATTTTGGATTTTTAAAATGTGTGCCATCAATTGCTAAGAGTAATGTTCCTGCCCCATGATAATACCTTCCTCCACAACTAAACTGCTCATCTATATACATTGTCATAACATGTACTGAACTTCCTAAGATACAGAATTAAATACTTTTTAAATGCTTTCATCCATATCTTTACAACTTCCTCAGGTAGCTTCTTTATTATTCAGTTTTACAGATGAGAAAATAAGCACAGAGAGGTTAAATAAATTTTCTAGGATTGTACAGTTTGTATGTTACAGAGCCAGAATTCAAACCCAGCCTGAGAAGCTACAAAACTCATGTTATTCCCACTATTGAATGATGCCAAACCTTATACTATGCACAAAAACAAATAATAAAATGGAAAACTAAATTAACATGGGTGTAGGAGCCATTAAACTATAAGATGTCCAAAAAAAAAAAAAAAAAAAGAAGAAGAACAACAACAAAAATTCAGCAAGCATCAAGCAAAATCAATAGAGTGGAAAATTAACCATTTAAATAATAAAACTTAGGTGTAAAATGACACTTTATGACTCACCATGCCCAATTTCCTCATTCTATAAATGTTTTGACACAATAAAAAACAAGAGGGCAAAGTTATCTGTTTAAGATCACATTGGCAGTTATAGGTAGTAGTTGAGCCAAAGACTCGGTTCTTAACTGACAATGTGTGAGTACCAGCCAGGTAATAATAAATGAGATACAAGTTGAAGGATCCCTGTATTAGTTTAGTACTTTGGTGCTGCTTATGACTACTTCAGTAGTGGCAGGCAGCTGAAACAAGGAAAGACCAGAATGGATTAGTCATAACAAGTGGTTTTTACACTATTGTCTATAGGATGACTTTCTGAACATTTGGCAAAAAATAAAATTGAAGGTGGGAGAGAGAAAGGAAGAAAGACAGGAAAAAAAAGTCTGACTCACAGGACTTTAGCCATCAGAGCCAAATAAGGCAAATACATTCATTAGATTTTAGAGATGTGCTTTTTACTAAGTTCAATGATGTGTGTTTGTCAAACTGTGATAAAAGCAAGGGTGAAATGTTCTTTTATGAGCCTAGTTATAAAAATATTCGAAAGTCCCCTCTCTATAAAGTTATCTTTAGTGAAATAGATGTCTTAATTTGGACATAAATTACACAATTTACTACAGCCGTGAGATCGGTTTAACATTCCAACAGGGTAAACATGCCAGAAACCCAGAAAAAGTGCCTCCCATTCATTACCTCATTCAGTAAATTATTAACTAAGTATAGACTACATGTACCATGAATGCTAGGTCCTGGAAACAAACAGATGGATTCAAACTCAAGGAGACTGTACATGCATTTACTCCTGGACCCAACAACCCCACTTCTAGAAATATCCTATAGATATACCTGCAGATGAACAAAGCAACATATGTACAGAGTCATTCATTATGGTATTATCTGCAATAACAAAATAATGGACACAAATCACTTATTTTAATAGGGATCTGAGTAAATAAATCCAGTTTACTTACTCTAATACAATGTACATCCAATACAATGGAATATATTTGTAAAAAATAATAAAGAAATTTTCTATGTACTGATACAGAAAGATATCTAGAATACATGAACTGGACAAAAAGCAAGGTTCTGGACAATGCATACATAGTTACCCACCAAAGGTGGAAAATGATATATAAATAAATATAAATATTTATTTGTATTTGTTTGCATTTGCCTGAAAAACCACAGGAAAGAATACAAGAGACAACAGAAAAGAGAGTGAAAGTGAGATGTCTGAAACATATTTATTTTTATAGTTTTGATTTTTGAAACACATAGATGTGTTACCTATTCAATAAAAAGTTATCTTTAATATAAAAAAGAAAAAATTACTCTTCCCATAGGAAGAGTTAAGAAAAGTCAAATCCAAGCTACCCACTCTGACCTAGCGAAAGATCTTAGAGATTTAGTCTAAAACCAGTTCATTCTTTAAGGAAACCTGTAGATGGAGTTATTTGGGACTTGAAAATACCTCTTCTAAGGTAGGAATCCTTATGTGGCAAGTCCTTTGCTTTCCGCAAATAACAAGCCCTGTGCTAGGTTTCTTCTAACACTTGCCCTTCAAGTTGCTCTTAGAGAAAATGTGAAACTCTGGGGTACTTGACCTGTGAAGATCACAGGACTCAAACACAGATCCAATTGCAATTTCAGCTGAAGACTACTTGTTCTTCCCTGGCTACTTCAGAGTGACAAAGATCATAGTATGCTTTTCTCCAGGGTGTGTAAAAACTACAGAATTCATTAGGTCATATCAAGGTTCTACTAAACCCATGAAATGGGCTGAGCTGGCTATGAGCTTGCTCTCAAGGTAAATGTCAGAGTTCATAGCTACTCTTTTCTGAACTACCTAGACTGGAAAGACATTTTTTAAAGTTTGGGGAAGAATTGCTTCATTTCTTTTAAAGATATTCTGTGCTGCTTAAAAACGTTTCAATTAAGTGTGAAAGGGGCATCATAACTTTAGAAAGGTAGACACAAGAGAGTAAGGGACGATGTAGTGCTAACTTTCTCTCCTCTATCACTTATCATCCAGGTTGTTTCTCTGAAGAGATATCATCACTAGCAGCTGTTACAGTAGGTAAAACTCCTACACTTCTCACGTATTTCTAAAAGGACAGCCAATTTGACAGGCATACCTAGTCATCTGATCCACAGGGAGGAAAGGCATTCCTCAGCTGTTAGGTGAACCCACGCTGGGTTTTTGCAGTTTCCCTAATACCAGTTGATCAGACAGGGAAACAAGCTGTTAGAGAAACCCAGCATAGGTCCTGCTACCAGAGAAGAGGGAGGAAAATTATAATAACTGCCAAAAATGAGGCATCTTTGAGAAAACAATCTTATTGGAAAGTAAGAGAAGCTTCCCAAAACATCAAGGAACTATAAACATGCTTACATTTGGAAGATGTAGTCTAACTTTCTATTCACTGAAAGAATTACTTCTGCAGTGCCCCTAACAAATAAACTCCATGTCACAACTGAATTCAGGTGGCATCCAGATAGAACAGCTAGGAAAATTCAGTACCAGGAGTTCTAATAAGATAGAGGAAGTCTGCTAAAAGATCTGCTCATCTAGAGTCAGAGTCATTTATGCAGATACCCCAAGTTCAAGTTGGGGGTAAGTCCAGATTCCACAAGACAGGTGCAGATGAGAGGGAAGCAGACATTGATGGAAGCTCAAATAAGTGGACCATATTAAGAGTCAATATGGCCACTCAAAAACTTGTAGGCATATGAGTTGGCAAACTGACTTCAGAGATCAAGACATTAGTATAGAAGGAATGGAGTAGATGGAAATCAGAGTGTGAACTCAAAGGTGCCTCCTTAGGGCAATATTGGCGTGATGGAGGGGGGTGTGTGTGTGTGTGTGTGTGTGTGTGTATGCAAATAAATAAAAGAAAGAAGTTATTAAAAGCAAATGTTCGAAAATGAGGCAATATAAATACTAACCTATAAGAATGTAGAACAGGTCTAGCACTGCCTTAGAATGTCAAACAGAAAATCTCTGTGCAAGAATAATTTATACCACATGCAGCTTATGGATACGGGTAATTTACCAGAAAATGTCTTTAAATATTTCTAGGTTTGTTTTGCTTGGTTAGGGTGTGAGGGGCATTTAAGCCTTTGAAGGTTTGTTTTGTCTTGTTACAAGGTGAAGGGAACTTAGAAGTATTTAAGTAGTGTACATTTCCTGTGATAAAACAATATAGAGTTACATAAGAAACATTAATAATATACACACAATTCTACCTCCCTGAGGAACCCATTAACAGATTGGTGAGCACCCTTCTACGCTCAAAGTACAAAAGGTTTCCCTGCACTTGAAAACGTTGGATTCATATTCTACCTATAATGATGTAACTTACTTTTTTCATTTTACAATGTATTGTGGGCATTTCTCCTAGTCACTTTACATACATACCATATTTTTCTTAATAGAAGCATAATATTTGCAGTACAGATTAACATAATTTAGCTAACTAATACAGATTGCTTCAAATATCACTACTATAAATAATGTACATTTTTTCCATTTATCTTTTTACCTATGTTACATCTTTATAATATCTATAAGCTTTTCCATTCAAACTACCTTTTAGTCTTTAGATAACAGTTTTATAGCTTTCTCCAAATAGATTTACATATTTGCTTTTAGGTTTATTTCTAAGTATTTCATATATTTTCCATAAAGTCTTCTTATTTATTACTGCTCAAATATGGGATATCCATTAAATATTTGTATATATACATTTATATAATATAGAAAATATATATGTACATTATTTTATTTATAATGTAGCCACCTCTCTAATCAAAGTTGCTTATTATTCATGAGTTTTGTATTTCATTCTCTTACTCTAGGTAACATTCACCTAAAAATAAAGATTTTGCTGCTTCTGGTAAATACATATACAGCTTCTTTTTGTTGTATTAACTAGACTTATCAGAACAATGCTGAATAATTAACATCTACTTTTTAAATAATTTAATGATATATGTTTAGCCAAAATATATTTAAAAACTATTTACCATTCTTGATGTTAGGGAAAACAAGATGTGCAGGTGAACTTCTGTTTTCAGCGGCTTCTTTCTTCGGGCTAATAGCTGAAATAAAACTGCTGAAAGTGGAAATTTGGCCTTTGGCTCCTCTGTCCAAACCCTAAAAACAGAAAAGTTAACATTGCAGTATACTTCCTACTACCTATAAATTATTTTATTGCAAAAATCACAAACATTTATAAGAGATTTTAATTTGATGACGAGTAGTCAATAGATAAAAACGTATATGAATTTGACTTACCTTTTCTAGGACTTAACTGTCTCATATATAAAACAGCCTTATTATCTATCCACTTACAAACTGAGAAGTTTGGAAATGGGAATAACAACAGTACCTATCTTATAGAGTTATTGTAAGATTTAACAGAGATAATGCATATAATTAGCGTTGGTTCTTGCACATTGCACACCCTCCATTAATGTTAACTACTATTTTAAGTATGTATTTAAATAATACTGATTTTGTGATCTCTATAAATATTATTTTTAATAAATAGCATGCATGTAATACCTTACAGGCTGATTCACTGAAGGCTATCCTCTCATTTGATGTAACTTTATAAGTTCAGGTAAAAAGATAACCCTTTAGAATTAATTCTTTTCTAAGCACTGTGATTGGGTATACCAGGATTTTTTTTTTAGAAGTAGTGCTAAGCACTTTGGGATCCTTAGGCACAGGTAACAGCAATCTTCTAAAACATGGAATCTATTCATTAACACATCTTTCACAAAATAACAACCCTATAAAATTCATAGTACATATTTAATTAATCAGTACTTTGTAATTATATAAAAAATCTTTACACATACTTTGAAGCGCAAGATTAAGCTATAGAGCTGCCTCAGGGCTTATTCTCAGCTCTCTGAGATGTTTTTATGCTATGTTCCAATTTCCAGATGCTTAAGAGAATACAGTAGCTAACTTCTTTAACATCCACTTTTTAATTCCGAAGGTAACGTCTTCACTTTCACAGTAGAGGAAGAGTTTCTTTTTCATCTCCTCCTTCTTAATTTACCAGACTGATTGCCATTTACCTTTTCAGAATTCACTCATATAATATAGCAGAAGCATTTATGCTCACTAAATTCCCCATTATCTTACAGTTAGGTAGAGCCATCTGATTCATTCTAATAGGCCACAAGTGGAAATGACACCTGTCATTTCTGAGTCCGAAAGCACCAATGCATTTAAGACTGGGGCAAAACTCTAGCTTTTCTCTATTTTCCTCAACTGGCAACCATCCAGGCTGAGTTGAGATGCTAGAGCATCTGTTAGCTTGGGTTCTTGAGTGACTATGTGAAACAGCCAATCCTGACCAATGTTAGACTATACCATTAGCAATAATAAACCTTAACAGTTTTCAAACACTGAAATTTGGGGCTAATTTGTAACTGCAGAATAGCCTATCACAACTTGTTTCTGAAGCTTTTTCCAGTATTCACCATTTCTATAAAACCAATCATTCTTATTTGTTCTTGTAATTTATTTACATTGTTCCACTAAAATTATAATCATTCTAATATTGGCCCTTCACGCTGGACTAGAAGTTCATCACAGAGCTTGTCATACAGTGAATCTTGTGCATAGGTGCTATACTTTAAATTTACTTTTTAAAGAAAATATAAAAGAGCCCAAAGAGAATAAATTTCAGATACTATACACATAGAATTAAAAAGTCTCTGGAATTAAGAGACTTTTAGAAATTAGCGAACTCCTTTATTTCACAGAAAAGGAAAGTGGAACTGTCTGAGACTCACCTAAAGTGACCTAACAAGCAACAGTGATGTAATGGACACTAAATGGGAACCTGAGGGACACTTTCATGAGTAAAGGAAAAACACATATGCATTTTTTTGGTGTGACATTTTTGGCTGTTCATAGATTTTATTGTAATTTGTTTTTGCTTGGTCTGTGATTCTTGGCTAGATTTCAGCTCAGTAATGTCTGGGTTAGTATTTCTGTGTTAGGAAACAAGTCATTTGTTGAGTACTTGTTACATACCTACTACTATAGTAGCCACTTTAATACATTATAACATTCCTATATGTATTTACACCCTATTTTATAGATGGGGAAATTGAATTTCCATGCCCACGTTCACAGAGCTGATAAATGGGAAGCCAGGATTCAAATTCCAGTTTGAATGACCATGAAATCTGTATTCTTAACACTTACATTACAGTCTCTCTCTATAGCAGCTGTCACTAATTAAGGGCTTAGCATGTGACAGTAGGTGTGTTGAACACATCAGCCTATTTTCACAACAACCCTTGTGGTTGATGTAATCTCTACTTTTATAGATGTATGTTGAGTTAAATTTAATCTCTTTAGGAGCAATTCACGTAACCAGAGAATATTACATAAGCAGAACAACTAAGTGTACTTTAGGGAAACTTCTGATGTCCTAAGCCATCTGGGAAAGACTTTAACATTTTCTTTTCTTTTCTTCCCCCTTCCTTCACCTCTTCTTAATAAAAGAGGTCTCAAAGAATATCGCTTAGTTCACTTGCGGGATCTCCAAATAATAAAAACTAAGAATTCAATTAACAGTTATTCAACAACTATCAGTTCTAATGTCTAGTGGATTTATAGAGTCTCAAAGATAAGAGAAAAAATTGAAAAGAGAGGTAAGACAGTGATACACAGTATCTTTCTATAAAATAGTCAGTAAATTATGTAATTTGCATAATATTGGTAAATTAAAGCAATTTGTTCAAGTACACAAAACTAGTGTGTTGATTAGGAAAATGAAATCTAAACAGGCTACATATTTGAAAAAGTAAATCATTCCTTATTATATATATTAGGATGCTTAAATAAGAATTTTATTAACAACTGGGGCTAAGTTTGCTTATTTGTATATTTTGTTCTCTCAGAAAATCTTAATAATAGGGGGAACAGATGCCAAATTGGACACACGAATTTGACAGTTATAAGAAAGTAACCAATTTGTAAAAGAAGGTTAGTCATGCTTGTATAATAAATGGTCCCTCCTTTGTTAACTTTGCTGTAAATATCTACAATAATTTAACATATAGAGGGCATTTTTTCACTGACAACTGTCATGAATGTTATCTAAGACTAAGCAACAGTAGGATTTAGGGAGCAGTGTAGTTGGAATATAGAATCAGAAAGGGAGAAAGGTCCAGCAAGATATGACTGGGAAGGTAGGTAGTGGCCATGTTATGAGGCCTTCAGGCTACAGAGTATAGATTCTATCCTGCACAGAGATAGAGAAAAATCATTGAGCACTTCTAAGCAAGAAATGACAAGATCATATCTGTATTTTAGAAAAAAATCACTATGGTAGCAGTCTAGGGAATAGAATAAAGGGTAGAAATACTGGAAGCTAAACCAGGCCTACTGGAAGAAATGAAATTTGAATGGAGATAGTAATAATAGGAAATGAAGAGGAATGACAGCCTGGGCCAGAAATGACCAAATTGTTAACAGCTATTTCAAGTGTAAGTCTGAAGCATAATGAGAATGAACAAACCCTACCATAAATTATAAAGTAAATGAAATAAACATTGTAAAAAGGTTTCTTCAAATTTCAGAAGAATAGGTGTATTTTGACACCTCACTGTATAGAAGAAAGCATCTTTGAAGAAAATTCTAGACAGGGTTATATCAACATGATTTGTGAGTAACTGCAAAAGGAACCAATGCTCACTAGGCAAAAGTATGCTTTGCATGACAAAATAATGAATTTTTATAACAGGGTTATTGTAATATAGCAACAGATACCTGTAACAAGCTTGTCCAATCCACAGCCCCCAGGGTGCATGCAGCCCAGGATGGTTTTGAATGCAGCCCAACACAAATTCGTAAACTTTCTTAAAACATTATTTAAATTTTTGTGCGTGATTTTTTTTTTTTTTTTTTTAGCTCATCAGCCATTGTTTGTGTTAGTGTATTTTATGTGTGACACAAGACAATTCTTCCAATGTGACCCAGGGAAGCCAAAAGATTGGACACACCTGACAATATAAGGACAGAACTGTGGGAAATATTGGGATGTATGTTATGAGCTGGAAAAGGAGGTTAAGAATGAATGACCAAAGAGATAAGAAATCGAGAAGAAAGTGATGTGTTAAAAATAAGGGAGGATAAAGTTTCAAGAAAAGAAAAAAAAAGGTCAATAATCTTAAATAATGAAGAGTGGTTAGGTCTAAAATGTGCCTAACTGAAATGGGGCAACTATGAAATCTTGAGGACAGCTGAGACAACAGATTTAGGGTAATGGTGGTGGCAGGGACTATACCAAATAAACTGACAAATGAATGGGAAGTTAGAAAATGAAAGCAATGAGCAAGGATGACTCAGAAGCTTTACTGAAGGGGAAAAAAGCCTGAGGGGGTTAGAATGCAAAGGTTGAGGGAAGATCTACTATGTGCATTACCATGGCTGCCATCTAATGTTCCCTTCTATTTAAATTGCCCCACTCGTGGTCCCCATAGCATTGCTGTTATTCTTTGTGCAGGAATGGCTGTGGACTAGAGCAGAGGTAGGCACTCAACTAAGAGGTAGCCCATCTGCAATTAGGGTAGCCACGTATTAGCTGGCTTGGCATGATGGACACTGATGCTTCCTAGTAAGTCAACCAGAGGTCTTTTGGGATTTTAGACAGAGGAATATAGAAAAGACTGACCACCTAAAAGAGAATAGCAGAGGCACAAAAAACAGCCAGTCTCTGTTCCTGTTTGTTTTCTGCTTCCAATCTATGTGCCTCATTTCAATAAATTCTCTTTTGCCAAAAGGAGGCTGATTTTCTTTCTCTTTCTCCTCTCTCTCTCCCTACCTCTCTCTCTCTCTCTCTCTCTCTTTCTTTCTTTTCTTTTGAGATGTAGTTTCACTCTGTCGCCCAGTCTGGAGTGCAGAGGCACAATCTCGGCTCACTGCAACCTCCGCCTCCTAGGTTCCAGTGATTCTCCTGCCTCAGCCTCCTGAGCAGCCGGGATTATAGGCGCACACCACTATGCCCGGCTAATTTTTTTTTTTTTTTTTTTTTGTATTTTTAGTAGAGATGGGGTTTCACCATGTTGGTCCGGCTTGTCTTGAACTCCTGACCTCATGATCTGCCTGCCTCAGCCTCCCAA